TTTCTTAGTTCTCATCATATTCCAATTTTCCTTCAAAAAAAATATTTTATTTCAACAAGAAACTAAGCTCATGTTCAAATATTGTTAGGAGACAATATTTGTTCATTTACTTCTTCTCATAGTTATATAAAATCAAGAATACAGAAAAAACAATTAAAGTTCATATCTTAATATCCATGCACAAAATAATTGATTTATTTTTTATTGAGAAGAAAACGGTAGGAGTGCAATGTTTCAATGCTATTGAGAATAAAATAAAAATAATTTTACCCATCCAAGACAAACATACTACAGAAAATATGACCTCACATATTAAAGTAGTACAGATTTATCCAATATCTCTTTTATCATATGATAAAATAATTCTCTTTTTCATCTTGCTTTTCTGAATAAAAAGAACACAAAAAATATAAGTACATTCCTTTCCCCAGAAAATACCAACAATAAAAATTTTTAAGCTTGTTATCTCCCGTATTTAGATTACCTAACTAGAAATAATGAAGTTGAAAAGAAAAAGCAAAGAACTTATACGAGTTCATAGAATCCACTATGTACTTAAGAAATTTAATCACACATACAGACACGATCAATCGATTTTATTTTAAGAAATGTATGGATAAGAAGGGAAGAATTTTATGTTGAAAAATGAAAGAAATATCTCAATTTATAGCCAAGTTTAGAGAAATCTCTCAATTTATAGCCAACAAACGGTAAAGGTCACAATTCGTTTGAAAGAATAGAATATTTCAAAAATATCACAACAATTCTCACAACCTTTCAAATGGCCACAACCCTTTAGAAAGGATACAACCTTTCATAAAGATCACAACCTTTTGGACCCTTCATTTCATCTTCACTCTTTTAAAACCCAACAATTATTTTATAATTCTCGTATGCTGAAAAATATGTCTTTTGGTCTATGATATATGAGCCCTATGACCTGTTTATTATAAAACTATTTAGGTTTGGATGAGTTTTGTGTAGGTCGTAGTTTGTTGAGGCTTAGTTGGGATGAGAGGGTATTCAATTTAGTTAGGTTTCCTAGTATTTAAGGATATATGTTAGTTACCGTATTGGTTAGACTCACTCCTTGGTTCTACACTTGTGTAGGTTCCGAGTCTGACCTATGTGATTATCTTCTTCTCCTAACTTTGGGGCTCGTTGAAGCACTTGAGAGGTAGCTGATTTTCATCTCAGTGGACCCTCTTTTCCCTTTGTTATGCTTTATTTTTATGAGATTAAAAGAATTTTTGACTATTATTTATCTTTCGAATAATGAACCTACATTAGTGGCTTCACACATGAAAAACTTATTTTTTTAGTATTGTTTTTATTGAACAAGTTTTCCGCATTTTTTTCTCTTACTTTTATCTTTTCGCATTTCTTTCATTCTTGTTGATTTGAGGTTGGCTTGTCTTTTTTGGATATACAACTGTCATCACATCCATTTTTGGGTCGTGATAGCTATGGAGGTTGACATTTGTATATTTCTACAAATTTGTATATTTTATTTGTGAATATAACAGTAAGGTAAGTATATACAAGTTTTGTGTTTATACATTTAGGAAAATTTTAGAACTTTGTTTGAATATTACGCTTTCCAATAAAAAAGAAGGGTAACTTATTTTACAATTTTTTCATAAATCATATATAAATTTCTAGGGTAAAATACACAAAATTCTGAATTTACACAATCAGAAACTCAACTATACAAATTCTTGATTAATACAAATCAGGCGAATAGCAAGATCGGGCTAAGCTGTAACTTCAAAATTAAAATTTCACTAAACAATATCTACAAAATTTATTATTGTTTATATGCTTGCTATTCTTTAAAAGAATTCCTTTAAAAGTTGATAACTCCTTCATAATTTAATAACGCATCTAATGGATTATTTGGAGATTAAAGATGATTAGCAAAGACCACGATATAAGTCCTTATACATCATGGTTTTGCTTAGACATACATTCCAAATTTATTCAACATTCTGTTTCATACTACTTTCTTTTTTATGCAATATAATTGCCCTTCCAATTAGACATACATTCTACACCTTATTCCTGTTTTATAGCTTAAAACTTTTCATTCCATTCAATCTTTTATAAGTCCATTTTCATAAATACTTACGACCTTTTATTTTGTTAATTATACCTTTTAAAACATACATAAGACACATTCGAAAGAAAGAATTTCAAATCTAATTAAGTGACAATTAAATATTTATTAGACATTTAATTTAAAATTTTTGGATGTATTAACGAACTAGACTCTAACTAATATCCCCATTGCCATCCAAATTAAAATACAGTCACTAAGAACATGTACCCTTAATCACATATCAGGAAAATTCTTAATATGTATTTAAAGAAAATGAATGAATTTTCAATAAAACAATACCACAAATTTGATGAATTTAAGCGAGAAAAGAAGTCAAATCATGACATAATTTTTATAAGACTCAAATATAAGAAACAAATAGTTATCCTTAATCGGCAGATTTACTTCTAAATTCATTTTAATCAACAAAATTTCAGCTCAACTTCTTAAAGTACTTCAACCCAATGTTTAATATTATATATTCAGATAGACATGCTCAAACATAACCATTTATCCTTAAATAGATATATAATAGTGTGAATTTTCCTCTCAATTATTGTTTACATCTGCAAGTAGTTCTAGTATATTATTATGCTTAGTTACAGTTTTTTTTTCTGTCTTATTAGTTAGAGTATGTTTGCATGTATCAATACCAACATAATTCAAACTTTTTACATCACAAATAGAATTCTGTGAACTACAATTTATGTTGTTCGTTAATTGTTTGTGTATATGTGATTGAGAGATATGATATTCCTCTTTTAAGTATATATTTTATCTAACAAATTTCAGGCATATTTTCAAATGAAAATTATACTAATAATATAATTTACATTCAGTGTGTGTGTGTTAGTCGATCAATGGTTCATCGGTTACGACCATCGACGGTGCAGTCATGTTTTAAGTTATGGTCGTTTTAGTCTCTCCCCCTATGCATTGGAAACCTAAGCTACATCAGTTAGTCCCTAAACTATGTCGTTCTGGTATGTTTTAGCCTAGTTTCCTAGTCTGACTTTACTCTAAGCGAATCATTTGCCAAAATTAGTAAAAACTTAGAGCAAAGAGGAAGAGTTGACTAAACCCTTCCAAGATTACAGTAGGTTTACAATAGTTCTAGCCCATACTTGAAAGATTTATCCATCAATTCATCACCATGTATGTGGGATTGGGTTCCTTTCATCCACTAGGTCCCTATAATTCAGTCAAATTTTTTATTGACTATATCATACTTAGACCTAGGGTTTCCAAACCTTTGATATTTGTTGTGATTTAGCTGCTAGAGTATTCCTAATAAGATTATCAAGTTTTTGTGGAGTCGTTTCTTACTACGTTGCATAAAATTCAGAACCTTAGTCTTGTAGATCCCATAGCTCATGAATTACACTACTAGGTCAGTTAAGCAAATATACATGCCTCAAATTTTGAATGTGTCATCGTCCATACATAAATGATTCATTGTCCATTAGCATGTCTGAATATTAAGCTAATGCAGTACTCTAGTTATGTTGTATTATATACTTATTCTAGTTCGGAGTAGGCTTAGCATCGATTCGACTAGGGTTCACTGTACCCTTAAAGTACCAAAACTACGTGCCCCCATATGATTATAAGTCCCCTCGATTGGGAGTCAAATTTAGTGATCACGTTATTCATGTTTTTATACCCCTGGTAAGGTATATTGAGTACATTCGATGCGGCATATACATTGGACTCCACGTTTAGCTTACCTAGTTTTATGTAAGTTAATAATAGCTCCCATAGTCAGACTTTAATCATTTGTCTAGGTTTTATGTTATATTTCAGAATTTAGTCTCAACATGTTATGTATTTTGTCATTGCATTCAGTTTAGTTCATATATGTATATCATGTTCAGACTATATCATTTTGTACTATGCTTTGTTCAGCTATACATTTTGTTCAGCTTTTATCCTATCCTGCATGCACCTTTCAAGTATTGACATATACTCTACGCTACATCTTTGCATTATGTAGGTTCAGGTCCTCAAAATTCAGATCACACGTAGAACGGTTCCTGGTCCATACTCAGCAACATCACTGGTGAGTACCCATACTTTGTGGACAATAAATATGTTTTCATATTGAGTCTTTCATTTAAGTTTCAATTTTGATAGGTTAGTTGGGGTCATGTACCAGCACCTCTAATAGGTTACAGGCTTTTTCAGACATAATATTAGATTCAACTTTAGCTTTTGGGTGATTGTTCAATATTACTAAACTCTTATTCAGTGTTACATATATTATGACGAGTTTTCGGTATTCCCCACATCAGTTCATGATATAGATAGGCTGAGTTTTGCTTATTATATGCCAAATTAGCATTATCTTGGGGTCACTCATTATCCTAGGTCTTGTGTTTACATATAGGGGTAGCCTCGAGGCATGAGATATTTCACCCGTTACAAAAAAAAAGACTTAATTTCGTTTTAGTGTATATAAATATATGACCTGTTTTATTTTTTGGCAACACTTTAATTTAACTTTCCAAAAGGTATGTTTTAAGGATACAACATTAAAAAAACATTTTGGCATATCACATCACACTAATTTGAAATGACAAGATTGAAATATCTCTTTGTTAAATTTTGTGTCAACTAAAACTAGACAATTATTTTTAAAACCGAGGGTGTATTGTCAAAAGATCCTATTAATTGTAATAATATAGCATTTAATAACTGGATAATCTAGCATTTAGTAACTTCGACTATGACCATGTTTGGATGCGGTTGGACTACTTTTTATTTAATACTTATTTGACCCAAATAACTTTTTTGAGCTTATCAATTAGTTATTTTTAGCTTTCTCTTTTTGTCATTGCATTGTTCGTAAGCAACACTTATAGCTATTATTCCTTCCAGAGGAGAGAAGAGACTCCCTTGAAAGATGGATAGAGAAAATGAAGATACGAAGAAATTTTATAAGCGATGTAGTAGTTTATTAAGGAAGGCGGAAGAGATTGCAATTTGTTGTGATGTGGATGTGTTGTTTGTTGCGCTTTCACCATCTAATCGACTCAACAAGTTCTGTAGCCAAAAAAGGTATTGCAGATACAGTACCAACAAAACTTTATTGTTACGTTATGCTAGTTAGTAATCTATAAAATGAATAGCTTGATTAATTATTCTAACTGAATTGTTACTTTTGTAGAATTGAAGACATGCTTCAACACTATCTTAAGCTTCCCGTTGAGAGGAGATTGACGTATATTAACTAATTAATTTTATTATTTTATTTGAATTTTTTATTTAGCTATTATTCAGTATCTTTAATACTGTAACTTATATATTGTAGCACTAACTTTTGAGTTTTTTGTTTTTTCTTTTTCTTGGGTTAGTCACATGGACGATGTTAAGGTACTTTATACTTTCACATGTTCATTATCGATATGTATTTGCATGAATTTTTTACTTTTAAGATTAAGTCTTGCATCTATCAATATTAATTAATATATCTTATCTTTAAATGATGTGAATTAATGGAGTATGAAATGAAAATTAGTACTTTCTCCATTTACATTCGACAATCTTTCTACTTTTTTTCTTTTTTTTTTTTGTTTTTTGTAAAAAGAATGTGTCATGTCAGATTTTGAGTATAACTCATAATCTGAAAGCTATATCATAAAAGGATGATTGCTCAGTTCTTGCAAGAATTAATTAGTAAGCCCAACCCCTCCACACCTTCATTTGCACATTTTTATTCAAGATTTCATTTACCACTCCCTCTTCATATAGACATTCTTTGTCCGGATTTCACTTATCCCCTCACCCTCACCCCTATGTCCATATCCATATATTCTTTATTTGAAATTTCATTCTTAAGTCTAAAGCATGATTTTCAGACCAGAACTATTCTTAATTCTAGGGCCCACATCAGTTTTGGATTTGATCATGTCAAGTTAGATCGCGATGAGCCTAACTCACACTTTCAAAAAATTTCAAAGAGAGGATGATTGTATAAGGCATATAAAGATTTCATTATTCACTGCTATGTGATATCCAATTCCTCGATCAAGATACTCATTTTTTTACAACTTTTTAGTATCAACTTTTCATGTAACATGTTTATTTTCATTCCTTGTCTCTCTCTTTAGTTTATGACCATAGGATAAAAAAATCATTCTTTTGATTAAACTTTATGTCAATAATAATAAAAATAAAGTTAAAATGAAGTTAGTAATAATTAAGAGATTTTGAATATGACATCCTCAAACTTAGAGAAATACTAAATGATTTCTTATTCATTATAAATAACAAGTTTGACTTTTTTATGCAAAAAGTGTATAATTGGTACAGAATTATAATAAATTTTAATTGTTGAGATCAATATTTCTCCCCATTATAAATTCTTTTGGGTGTTTAATGAAGGAAAAGGTGGAAAAGTTGAGGCAATTGAACCACATCAAGGGAGATTTTAGCAAACTACAATTTCTTGATCAACGGTATCAATCCCTTTTTTTTCTTACTCCTTTATTTTTGGGTCAATTTTTTGCCTCTCGACGATAATATTTTGTTCAGAGTTATTTACAAATATTGTAAGAAAAAATTTATATTTATAAGAAGATTAACAAACAAAAATAATTGAATAAAGAGAGAATTAGAAGTTGTATTGAAAAAACAGTGAATTTTAGAAAACATATTGCTTATAAATGAATAAAATATTCACTCAAAGAAAAATTTGTTATTAAATGAATATATATAAATTATTAAGTAAAAATAGTAAGATGTTCGTGATCTTACTCCGTTCTTTATGAGGTAGAAAGTAGTTTTTGATTGATTTTCGATAACCCTGATCCATTATGCATGCTTCGGATAGACAATGTAATAGAGCTCAATAAACTAATATTATATATGTTTTATGCTATTTTGATTTCTTAAGATGTGCTTAGATACTACAACCAAGTAGCTCATACTTGATTAATTTTGTATCAAGTGAAATTTACTTTTACTAATGAATTAAACTTTTTCATCATGGCTTCCTTTGGATGTTTCAACTTGTTGCTGGTGTCTTAATTTCTATAGGATAGAGGTAAGCATAACTTAATTTGATATCTCATAAGTATTTTTTTAATTAAGTGAGACATTGAAATAAGAACTAAGAATTGTCGTAATAAACAAATGTTAACTAATGAGTGAAACTAATAAAATTATTTTAACTTGAAATTCTTTGATTAGAATCTGGAGCTGCAAATCAAGAAGTGCACATTGGAATTGCAGATAGTTGATGCTAACTTAAGGTCATTTTATTGAGTATCACAAGTGTTTTCTTATATGTTTATTCTTAATTATAACATTATGGTTCAATACAAAGACATGACCTTAAACATTTATTGGATATTTAACTTATTGTCTTTTTCAGTCGTCTAAATCGTCTAACTTGTTCTGTAGGGACTATGTTCCAGAATCAGAGAAATTTTCTTCTCTTCATCAACTCTTTTGGTGTGAGAGCAACTTGCAAAAATCTCTCCAAAAAGTTATGACAAGAAAGGTTTTTCCTTTCACCAACTTTTATTCTTGATTTGTCATTGAAGAATTATGCGAAATCAAAATTTTCTAGAAAAATATTTCTTTTTCTTAGAAATAATGAATCAAATCAACTACTATATGTAATCATTAAGATTTTATTAATGTCTAGCTAATTTGGATTAGATCGAATTGGAGAAACAAGAAAAGATGGTTGTTCACTTTGCTGCACAACAAACAACTCCTCAGCGCTTTGTGACAAATAATTGGGTTAATCCATATAGGTAATTCTTTTTTACACATAATAATTCTTCTTATTTTTTACATTTTTGTTTCATTATTTCATTATTATTTCAGTACAAGTATCCCAAGAAACATATATCAAGATTGGATGAACAAGGAAAAAAGAGTAGCGAACAGTTTTTGCGATTACACATATACCCCTTCCATTGGAAGTTCTTCACATAGTGAGAACATAATATTTTTTCAAAATCAAAATTCATCCGCTCATATCACGTTTCAGGTAATACTTTTAAATATTTAGTAAGCAAAATATCTAAAAAAAGAGATATTTTTAAAAAATGATGCTATTATTTTTTATCCGCATAATAGGGCCAACAAAAAAGTATGGTGGTAGATGTCCAACAAAATTTAACACAAACATTGAAACATTTACAGGTAAATTTATATTTATGAATTATTATTCTTTATTAAGATCTCCTTAAATCGCTGAGATATTTTTGAATTTTTTTATATAATTATTTTTATCGGCAAATAGAGCCAACAACAGAACATGGAGGTAGATTTCCAGTATAATCCAACAAAAACATTTGGAAAATCACAGGTACATATTATTATTGAAATGTAATTCCTTGTCAAAATATACACCTCCTCCCTCCCCTTTGTACTATACTAATCAAGTCATTCATTTTTACAGGCAGAAGTGACTTTTGGTGAAACTAGTGATAACTCTCTCATAAAAATTTGGTAAATTTTTTGCGCCTCTATAATTTTTTTTCGAAAATCTTTGATTCGTCATGTATTATTATTAGCAAGATTAAATTTAATTTTCTTTAAAAGAGTGATGAAATTAGAATTATAATATTCAGCACATCTGAAGTCCATATTTGATTAAGGTATTATCATAAATAAAACTACTAAAACAGTAATAATATTATCTAAAAAATGTCAAACAGAATATATTTTATTATTGATGTTACTCTTTTTCTATCTCAGCCATGTCTCTACATGGAATAAAAACTTCAGTGAACCCTCAAATTTAGGGTTGGAGATTGTCCATTCAAATTGGAATAATAATATTAATAACAACAACAATAACAATCACATCATTCAACAGAATGATCCCTCTTCTGTTCAATGTGATGCAATGACTCCTAATGTTAATGGATTTAACAATTCAATGGAGGTTAGTTCAAAACTTTATTGTTAATGTTATCAAAAATTATTTTTTCCAATAAAATTGTTTTTATTTTATTATTATGAAAACACATACTTAAATGGTGTTTTTACAATGATTAGGAGAATATGATGGAGAATGATGCATGCAAATGGGATGATATCGATGCTTTCCTCAATGAAGCTTTGAATGAAGAAGACTTTTGAAATTAAGATTGATCATCCAATGAATAAAACTTTCTATTTCTTTAGTTCATTCGAATGATCTCAGACTTTTGATATTGTAGTTTTATTTTACTTATTTCAGTATGCAGGATATCATGTTAATGTAAGAAGGGTGACCTATCTAAGAATGTTCGAAATAAATTATGTGTAACAATGTCATATGCACTAATGTTTTTTATTATTGTCCATTCAAATTATGTGGAGGTTTTTCAAGAAGCTTGGAATCAAGTGGAGGTTCGCCTCTATGCAGGTTTCATTGATTTAGAAGGAAAATTGTTGACATATATATGCTACGGTTCCTTTTTAAACTTGTTTAAAACATTTCAATATCCTTTGAACATATTTGATTAAAACATAATTATATGCTACAAATACTTGAAACGAATACTTCATTCAGTTTCAACATTATTTTAATAACGATTTGATTGGCTTATTATATATGTTTAACGCTGAAATTGCATTTAAGAACTTAGTGGTATACTTTGAGTTCTTGCATAATGATTTTCAAAGATAAACTCATCTTTAAGAAATTTTCAAATTTGAGCTTGCAAATGCACTTCTGATTTAACGCACATAAGTTCTTGATGAAGTTATATACATAAGGCATATTTAGGCCTTGAATGAAGTTCAAAAGAAATATAATCTCATAGTGAATCTGAATTTTCATGATGACCCTCCAAGTACTTCCACTATTACTACCCTATTTTCATCGTTTAGAGCATTTTGTAGTGACCACAAGTCAATTATGACATACTGGAATGAGAGTTTGGTCACCCGGTTGTTTATTTTGATCATGTCAAACTTTACATATTTTGGAGCTTTTGAAATCTGAGATTACAAAAACCACCTCAAAATATAAAAATAAAAGTGTCACGCCCTGAGCGTACACCCTATACATGGTCGAAACTCGAGAACCATTTGTTATCCCCCCAAGAGAACCCTTGGCTTGTTTGACAACTTAGCGGAAGACTCATTCAATTGGTGATAGGCTTAAAAATAGAATTTTGAACACTCGAACTATAACTAAATACTCAACTAAAAATGTCTGTAAAATACACAGTAACTATAATAGTTTTCAAATATATCTCAAGAAAAAATACATACCAAAATATACTTCAACTCTATCTATTTATGAAGCCTTTAATGATTCATATAGGTGTGAAAGAAAAGACCCACGATGTCTCAAAACAAGTAAAATAAAAGTAATTGTGAATTCCTCCGAATGTCAAGGAGACTCCCAAAGATCTTGTTGGAGTTTAGAATGACCTCAACGAATAACCTGTAGATGATCATGAGCACCTGTATTTGTTTCATAAAAGGATATCGATCTAATGACATCATTATATTTGCATGTACGATTATGTAATATAGCTAAATAAGAAATAATTGATATAAAAGGGTAGAAATGAAAAAGAACTATACTCAAGTTGAATGTAAAGAAATAAAAGACTTAACTCATTTAAATATTTACAAAATACATAGTCATTTATGAATTCAACATAATAAGCGATATATATAAATAAACATTTAATTTATTGAAGATTTTTTAATAGATACCATCATCATGAATTACATAAAGATACAACGTATTGTCCACATGGATAACACATTCATATATCATGTCGGGATATAGAACCTCTATACTAAATGTATTCACTAAGCTCTGCCTGAATGAACTAAGGATTTGTATATAAAGTATGATCTGATATCCATTTATGAGTCCTCAAATTAGACTCATTTAGGGCTTTATTTTAATGCAAATAGTGTCCTCAAATGATTATTTTATCTCAATATCTGATGAGCAGTATGGATGTCACACGAATCATCCTCTCCTCAAGCTATTGAAACTCAGGGATATTCTATTGACATCCAAACAGTCATGGGAGGAGACAATTTCGGAAATGTGCCTGAGTTTCGAACAAATCTTGCAAACATGTCTCATGGAATGCGATAAGAAACTGCTTGATTGTTTCTAGCTGGGTCTTGAACCCGAAAATAGATAAATATCTTCACACCTATTCGAAGAAACAATGTTGAACTCACCTTACACGATTTTCACACTACTTGATAAAATGGCCGAAACCAACAAAGAAGCCCAAAAGATATACGGATGAGATTAATTGGTGGCACAAGTAGATGTTCTATCTAAATGGGTGATGGGGTTAGAAGAGCAAGCCAGAGAAAGGGAAACAAACTTTTCCCTTCGAGGGTGAAAGCATAGAAAGAAGCATGAGAGTGGTCAAAGTGATGATACCCCTTACCTCATCCAAAAAAGACTTGATGAGCATGACAAAAAACTGAATGATATGAAGGAAATCATTGATATGCTAAACGAAATAACTACTTCAAACTCCATGACCATTCAGTTGTAGGATGCTCAAATCACCCATTTGATGAAAGTCTACTATCCTCCGTTCGTTGAGGATTTACCTAATAAATAGTGTGGATGATTCTAAGGGTGAAAAATAGTTGTTGACTCATGCCGTGCCACAACGTTAACTCAGGCAGTGTTTGAAAGGAAACCGAAAACCCTCTAATGTCGATTATAATTCATGTTGGTTAAATCATGGTATGTTAGTTTTGCAGGTTGAAGTATTATAATAGGCACTAAAAAGGTGCAAAATGGTGAGAAGCAGACCCAGTTGGCGAGTCGTTGAAGATACCAACTATCAATTCTCTTCCACTGTTTGACTCAAGTATCCTAAAAACCTTGAATCAATGAAACTCGACAAGACCAAGAAGGTGTTGGTGACTCGCCTACCGAATCAGCGACCCCGATGGCTACTGTTGTTTGAAAAATCCTAATTTGTTAGGAAGAACTGTAAAAATTTGATGAAGTAAAAATTCATTTGGCGATATGCCAAAGTACTCAAAAGTCAAAATGTTGTCACCAAATGGAAACGAACTGGTTAAGTTGTTAGTTAATGCAAAAAAAGGTGGCTGATGAATCTTTCGAGAACGTGGGTTGAAGCGAAGAGCACCGAAATGCTGAGAAAAGTGGTACAGAGCTTGATAAATCACTCGGCAGTGCACCTTATCTCCAATCCATACCTTCTACTTAATTTCTACAACTTTTGAAGGACTCCAACTCGAAGCAGCTACTTAACCAAGATTATTCTCAAACCTTATCTCTGTCTTTATTTAATTTGTCCTCTGGATCACTATTATATATTTGAGGAAAAATACTTTTTGATTTTGATAGGGTGAGACCCACACTTTTGTGTTCTTGTTATAAATACTTGTGTTTTGATGAACATTTGGTTGCATGTTTTTAATTGTGTTTTAAAACTTTTTTTTTGTGATTGTTTGAGCTTATGAGTCTCTTTTGGGTCCTAATTCCAAAATAAACTTTGCCCTCCCAAAATAATTTCTTTTTGAAAACTTCGCCACCCCTTGTGTCGAAAGTGGTTGTTCTTGTACAAAATTCATGTCTTGGTTTCAGTCAATATCCATGACTTGAGTAGTGCTCTCAATTGAACTAACATGAATGTGCGCTATGATGAGAACATATGAAGTTGCATACACAATATATGAACTCTCTGCATCTCATTGTGATTAGCCATTTATCGAATTGATTCTTTTGTAATGACCATATCACACTGGAGAAAGCGTGTAGTCTTGTTTGACTTAAGTGTAAATGTCTTGTGTGATGGGCTTACTTTGAATCTTGCAGGACAAAAACTAGAATTTGCCCAATTAGTCCTATTGATTAAGAAAGCTGTCCTTTTAATATTATCTTAGGCAATTTTAAAGAGTGTGAGCCAACTTTCACATATACCTCTTTGTGACCTACCCATGAATGTGTGGAACTCTTTTAAACACCCTTGAACCTTACCTTTTCTTTGGAAGAACCTTGATGAAACCTAAACCTTACGTTATCCATCACCTATAATACAGTTGTTATGTGATTTAAGTGAAAAGGCAGGCAAGTTAGGCCAAAATCATAAGTTCGGGGTGTAGTAAAAAGGGAAAGGAGAAGTCAAGAAGTGCAAGAAAAGTCTCGTAAACGCATGGTATTGTAGAAAAATAGAAACCCTCCATATAAAAAAAATAAATTAAAAAAAAGAAATGAAAATTAAAAGTAAACATAATATGAAAAAGAAAAGTTGTGGGATAGAAGTAAAAAAAAAAATTAGGTTTCCAAGCAATCCATGAAGATGAATAAAGATATGGCTTGGAAGCACTTCACTAAGGATTGAGGAAGCAAGATAGGGAATAACTTGAGGAAATCACATCTCATTAGGAAAAAGTCACTGAGCCTAAATGACCATACCTTTGTACTCAGCCCCATTACAATTATCAAAAAGAAGTTTCTGATCTTGAGTAAGATGAACTGAAGATCATTTGGAAAATAAGGGCAAACTTATGAGTGAAAACACGCAGTGTCTTCCTCTTATTGAGTGTGACTGTTGTATCTGATTCGTGATGTTGAATTGGTTATTATTTGCATGTGGAAATTCAATCATTCATTGAGTGAGGGCATTTTGATACTTTTGTTGAGCTTGAACTTGCATAAGTAGCAGGTATTGGGAGCATGAGAATTATTTTTAATGGTATGTCACTACTTGGATCATTGAGTATACAATTGATCTATCCATGAGTAATTTGAGCCTTGTTGTATAAGTTCATGAATGAGTCTTGTGTAGCACTATTTGAGACATCCTATTTTAAAATGATGACTTGAGATTTACTTCGAGACAAGAAAAAGTTTCAATTGGGTGGGTGTTGATGAGTCCTCAGATTTGACTCATTCAGGGCTTTATTTTGATGTAAATAGTGTCCTCAAATGCTCATTTTATCCCAATATCTGATGAAAACTCTTAAGTTTTAGATATTTTATATTTTAGCATAAGCACGGACACTAGCCGCAAAATGGGAACAAAAAGCATGAAAAGAGCTAAACTTGAAGCCGGAGTTTCGCCAAGTATGCTTGGCAATCCGCCAAAGAGCTACATTTCACCCTTATTTCAAAATGAGAAGCC